TAATATTTTTAACCTTCTAATTGTATTATTTAAGATGTTCAATAGTGAGATGGGCAGCATATAAATTCAATAAATTAATGTATATGCTGCCCATCTCACTATTGAGCATCTGGGTGGTTTACAGCGTCATAAAAACAAAGGTACAAACTATTAAAACATTCAATATTAAAATGAACAGAGATGAAATGTTAAAAAAAAAAACAATACTAGGTGAAGGCATAATCTTTTGCTAATCTACCTCCAACACGGAATGTCCCCATCAGAGCCACAGGCCAATTGGTAGAGCCAGGTTTTGAGGCTCTTGCAGAAGGCCAAGAGGGTAGGAGCAGATCTCACCTCAAGGGACCTGATGTTCCAGAAGACAGGAACCATGGCAGAAAAGTTCCTTCTCCTGGACTCTGCAGGCCAGAATTCCTTGACCGATGGGGTCTGCAGGATGCCCTTTCCTGCCAGCGCAAGTGGAATGGGCCAGTCCCAATGTTCTTGTTTGCTTGGTCCCCTCAAGTCAATCTCACCATTTTGTAGAGCTTGGAAATTCACAGAATATTTTCCTAGTAAATAATAAACCTCCTTAGAGAAATGTATGCAGCTTTTGGAGGCCTCCTTTGCTTTTAATTTTTTTACTCTTGACAGGTGGGAGCCTGTGGCTTCCATAGCCGGATTTTGCCAAATGTATATCCTATCCGCTTGGTGAAAGTTAATGAGGATACCATGGAGCTAATACGTGGCACAAATGGACTTTGTATCTCCTGTCAACCAGGTAAGTAAGTCTGAAAATGCCTTAATTGTGACTTGGAGAATAGAGGTTCCTACACAATGCCAATTGTCCAGGAGTATCGCTGGTCTGGATATTGTTTATTATTATTGTGCCCAAATTAATCAAGGGCAGGAGAATTTGCAGGACCGGAGAGGCGACTTTTTGATCTGCTTCTTAGGCAAATACAAGTAGTCCTTGCTGGACAATAGTAATTGGCACTGGAATTTCTCTCATCAAGTGATGTGGTTGTGAAGTGTGATGTCACATTACCACATCACTTAGTGAAGGCAGTTCCTGCACTTCTAGTGGCTATTATTAAGCAAGTTCCATACAGTTGTTAAGCATGACACCCCATGGTCACTGTTTGCAACCTCCTGCTGGCTTCTCCCATTGACTTTGCTTGTGAAGGTTGCGAATGGCAATTAATGTATGTGACCCCAGATACTGCAACATTGTTACTGTAAGCCAGTCACTAAACTTCCAGATCATGATCCCATAATAGTTGTAATTTTGGTCGCTGAATGAGTGGTTGTTAAACGAGGACTATCTGTATGCCATTATAAAGACAGGAGATGAAAAAGCATCGATGTTCAAGAGTACAAAGCCTTTTGCCCATTCGCCATGAACAATATTTAATCATGTTTTAAAACTACCTCCACAATCTGAATAGTTGAAAGGTGGCAGATAAGTAGGTAAGCAAATGTGTAAATGAAGTAAAGCAAATGACAAATGGAAACTTGTGAAATAACAAAGTTAATCACTGATATTTGAAAAGAAAAAAAAGAATTAAATATATATATATATATATATTTAAGAGAGGCCTAAAGAAGACAGGCTGAGTAGACATGGAAAACACAGTATCATATAGAAAGGATAAAAGCAATTAAATTAAGAAAAATACTAAAGAAAAGGTTACGATACATAGCCAGCGATTCAGCTTAGCAAATTAGTTAATTACAGGTTATATATGTCATCTGTACTTTGATTTACAGATTACAGATACTCATGAATTTTGTTTGGGCTGCATTTGAAGCAGATGGTCTTGATTTGAATTTCCTTGACCAATTGAGATTCAGAATATAACTTTCTTTTTAGTTCTTTTTTTTTGGGGGGGAGAGGGGAGCTCAAAGGCAACCATTACAAGAGAATGTACTTTAGGGGCAAGACACATTTAGAAATATATATTTAGGAGAGGATGAGTTTGAAAATACAAATACACAATCCTTTTAAAAAATCTTACTTTATAATGGAATCAAATAACATTTTATATTGAGTATGCACTTTTAAAAAAATTCAGCATTTATTTCAGCCCTGCAATTTTCAGCTAGAGTATTGCTGCAGAAGACTTAAAGATGCGTTAGGATAGTAAGAGACAAAATTTAAATGAAATGACTATTCGGTAAGATTCTTAATCAGATCAGTTATAGAACTGCTAGATGAAAAGAAGTAAATTGTAATATTTGTGTCTCAATTTTTGTTGCAATGTTGTGCCTAAGGTAATAGCTAATATAAAGAATCCATCCAGGTATCCATAATGCTGTAACACAGAATATATTAATTTTTTTTAAAATTCTTCCTTTATTTAGGAGAACCCGGACTTCTTGTGGGCAGGATAAACCAAGAAGACCCCTTGCGGAGATTTGATGGCTATGTCAATCAGAATGCAACTAACAAGAAAATAGCTTATAATGTCTTCCAAAAAGGAGATCAGGCTTATCTTACAGGTATTCTTCATGCAGTTGACTTGGTCCCTTTGTGTCCTAGAAGGATAATTTTGTAATTTTGAATTATTCATATATTATAGTCAAACTTACAAAATTATGTAGTATCTAAGTTCCTCAGAAATTAAAGACATATTCAGATATTTGAAATTCTTCCTTAAGCATAGACCTGTGGTAGTATTTAAAAGAAATAATATCTGAACCTGAATAAAATCACTTAATGCTACGATGAATCCAAAGTTGTTGCTTCTTATGCATGACGATTCGGGGAAGCAGTATTTTGTAAACACCCCAATACTGTTTGTTCACTTACTTTAACTTAAAACCATTGACAATGGCTTAAAAGCACAATGCAGTGCAAATAAAACATTGCCTAAGCTTATTTATCAACATTATTGATTTTGCTCTGTTTGGGGATGAATAGAATTACTTTCCAGTATGGATGGAGGTTGTTCTTCTACAAGGAGTTTCTTGATTTGGTTCTGGCCATCATTCCTGGGAGATAGTTTAGGTATAATGTGGATGGCCTTTCTCTCCCATTTACCGAACCATTTTTCCATGTTTGTTCTTGATCCATGTGTTGTATTGGTAATTGGGAAACAATATGCTTATTGTATTCTAGTCCTCATTTGTTGAAGGGGGCGCGATGGCTCAGCGGTTAAAGATACTGAGCTTTTCAACTGGAAAGCTGACAGCCCGGGTTCGAGACCCAAGCGCCGCGCAATGGGGCGAGCTCCCGTTCTTGCCCCAGCTCCTGCCCTCCTAGCAGTTTGAAAGCATGCAAATGAATAGGCTCACAGGTATCATCACTATGGTGGGAAGGTAACAGTATATTCCGTGCTCTTTTGGCATATAGCCCTGCTGGTCACATGACCACAGAAAATGTCTTGGACAATGCTGGCTCCCCCAGGGAAGAAATGGAGATGAGCACCGCGCTCTAGAGTTGGACACAACTGGACAGAGAAACGTTTACCTTTACCCTCATTGGTTGAACTCCCAGCTGGAAGATACAGATTGGCAGAAGCACAGGCTTCGCGATACATACTGAAATCCTATTCTTCCTGCAGGAGATGTCCTAGTGATGGATGATCTCGGCTATATGTACTTCAAAGACCGCAGTGGGGATACATTCCGCTGGCGTGGGGAGAACGTTTCCACCACAGAAGTTGAGGGAATCCTCAGCCATATTCTCAGCAAGACAGATGTGGCCGTTTATGGGGTAGAGGTACCAGGTAATTTAGAATTTAAAAACTCAGCAAGCAGGTCTGTCAAGTTCAAAATCAGTGGATACTGTTGGGTTTGGAGATGGGAGATACTGTATAATAAAAAACAACAAAGGCAGCTCAAAACATACACCTATCGTAACACTGAAAATCATTAATTTATATGTATGTAAGGGCTGAAAAAATCTGGAACAGTAGCCATAGAGAATTAATAATAATAATAATAATTTAATTTATATACCACCCTTCTCCCGCAGGACTCAGGGCGGTGCACAGCATATTAAAACAAGTACAGGTACAAAAACAAAAAATATAAACCCCTATAAAACCAAATTAAAAACCAAATATTTGAAGCTGTATTTCTATTAAAATTATATTTAAAATCATCCCTAAATAAAATCCTCCCTAGGTCAGGCCCGCTTGCTGGAAAAGCCATGTCTTGAGGGCACGGCGGAAAGTAAGGAGATCCGGAATCGTCCGGATCTCGGGGGGTAGTTCGTTCCAGAGGGTGGGGGCACCCACAGAGAAGGCCCTCCCCCTGGGGGTCGCCAGCCGACATTGTTTGGCCGACGGCAC